TGTACATTTGCTGTTATATTAAAGTTTTTCTTCATTACCAATTCAAGCCGTCTCCAGCCATTATTAAAGCTCTTTTTAGTCTTACCAATGAGAGGGTTATTCTAAATAAACATGACTGCAATATAAAGGTTAGTCATATATTATTGAAAAAAAAAAATAGTGAACTTGTTAAATTACAAATCCAACACATAGAGAAAACAAAACTACAGTTACATTTTACAGTTGATAAAAGATTAAATTATGTTAGGAAGTGTATAAAAGGCAACTAGATCAAGAAGATTCCCATACTCAAATTATGCATGTCAAAAACCCAAACTTTGGTTGTCCTATAGGACCAATAATATCAAACACTGATAGATATAATTCATTGTTAGTTGGATCTTTTGGTCAAAAAATTCTTCACAAATGATTTTACACTAACAGACAATTTAGACTTCTAGCTCCTTGCATCAGAAGTTTCATGTTATTGCAAGCTCTGATCCAGAATCCCACTAAACCTCTAGTCCCAGATACAGCCAGTGAGCTATGATTGGCATATATCACCTCTTTATTAAAATTTATGAACAGTTCAGTACACAGATTACACTTGCACTAAATAATTAAATAGGTAATGAGCTAGCTACCAATGAAACTTGCATTTTCCTGCCAAAACAGCATTTTTCTTGATTATTAAACAAAGCCACTATTACTTTCCCTCCTTTTTGGGTCCATGGCTTCTTGATCATTAAACATTCCTTAACAAACAAATAACATAGGAAAAGCATTGTATAATAACATTCTAATTTTTAGTCTTTAGATTTTGTAAGTGATCTTTCTAAGCCTATGTTCTTCCTGGGTTGATGACTGTTGCAGTTAACAAAAATTGCATATTATATTCAAGGTATTTATCTATGATAAAACGTATGTGACCTAAACATACCCATTGTATGGTGCTTATTTCCAAGTTATCATGAAAAGCAAGGTTAGAAAACTGTCCTGTTGGTTTCAAGTCACTTTATAACATATTTTGATGACATGTTTACTCTTCCATTTACCTGAATGTTACCTTTTTTTTTTAAGTGTTTATCAATAAACAAACATGTATGAAATTTAGAATTGAACACAATCAAAATGGTCTTTTTTTAGAACACCTTAACATATATATAGTTATAGAATTTTCAAGTTCACATTGATATTTTCTAGTTTGTAAGTTAATATTGATAACTTGCTTATTCAGCATTCAAGGTTAACATAATGAAAATGTTGACACGTCATATTTAGAGAACTTTAAATAGTTATACTTTACTGTTTACCATCATTAAATTCTAAGGTTAATGTTCCCAAACACTCTGTAGTAGTAGGTTTACTTACACATGAAACACTCAATGTATTACAAAGTTAGTAATCCTCTTAGATGACATAACTTGTGCACATCCATAAATCTAAATTTCTCTTTAAAATGAGTGTTTAGAAAAAGAAATTTATCTTACTTTAAGAATGTAGTTCCAAAACTAAATCTTTAAGTTCAACATTCTTGAATACCATGGATATAAAAGATAACTTGGTCTCTTGTACAAAAAAATACACCTAGAAAAACTTGAGCATTTCTGAATATGTAATAAAAGACAATGTTTTTACTGTTAATATAAAAAAACATATTTATAATATTAATAGAAATAATAAGAAACAGTAGTCAATCAATCATGTTTGGAAGTTGTGATTCTTAGACACAACTTATGAAAAACCTTCTGGATGATCAGAGTAAAGCCCATCTAAATGGTTGTGCCAAATACTGCCCATGGTTCATATTAGTTATTAAGAATCTTGACAATAGCTGAACACATGTTATTGTGATTTCCAAAATCATTGGACTAGTTATTAACTCCAGTGTTTTCTAATAATGATATAACCATTTGCATGATATGTTTCATGAGCCTTCCTAACTTTAAAAGATTCACAGGCTAAGGGAGCCATAGCATATGAAAAATGTGTGTTTCCTGCTCTGCATAGTACCAGATGGTCTACGAACGGTATTAGACTGTAATTGTTACGATCCGATTCTGCTTATCAGATTTAGTAGTATTCAAGGGCAGTTGAAATCGATCATAGGTAGTCACAAATGGTAACAGGCAGTTGTTAGTAGAACTCCATCTAAACACATTTGAAGATGTTAGTATCAAAGCATAACCACAAATATTGGAACTCTTAACTTTGATAAGGTGGTCAGCATGTTCTGTCAGCTATCATACAAGGAGAAAATGTTTGGTTCAGTTCTCACACTTACACAGTTGAATAATACTAATCATAGACAGAGCTCAAAAAAATAAAGAAGCAAACATATACATACAATTTAAACATACAAATTTTGTTTTATCAACTAATTTATAGCATAATATAAAACTTTAAAAAAATAATTAATGAAGGCTTTGTAAAAATGATTAAAAATTAGTGCAAGTACAATGAATCAAATACTTTGATGAAAAAAAAAGTTTATGTGAGAATAATGCGAGAAAAAGGAATTCACTCAAATATGTAATTAAGTAAACATAATCATCTAATTGAAAATTATTTCATGATATTTTAAGCAGTACATATCAGGTTCCTGAGAAGTTAGGCTAAAAAAGAGTCAACAGGAGATTAAAATACACAAAGGTTCTATTAATCTAATTACAAATATCCTGCATGAAGTACATTTGTAAAAATATTGTCGAACAACAGTACTGTTACACATTACTTGTGACACAACTTTTTGAAAGGATTTACAATTGATTATATAATTATAGAAACCACACAAATATAATTCTAGAAATAATAATTATAAATAATATATATATATGTACATACACACATAACAAAAAATATATAATATAAAAATAACTAAGTAAAATGGCCTGTGCCAGATTTTCATGAAAGCAGTGTTTAACAACTAAACATACAAATAACTGTTACATAACCTCATCTCAAAAAAAAAAAAGTCGAGTGTAGGATTGATAAAATGTAAGTAAGAAAAAAATGAGTAGATAGTAAGAACTTAAACAATATTTAGCTGAAAATCAAGTTTTTTATTATTTCCATTTGGAAACTTTGTTTTGAGTGTAAAGTTGTGTAAATGCTTTCACATTTTAATTTGTTGAGGGATGTAATTTGATAACAAACACTTGCAGATTAGAAACACTATTATATAGTCAAAGAATTACTGTCTAGAAATTGGGTGTGTTTTTTCTTATAGCAAAGCCACCTAAGGCTATTTGCTGTGTCCACTGAGGGGGAATCAAACCCCTGATTTTAGCAATGTAAATCCGAAGACTTACCACTGTCCCAGTGGGGGACCTAGAAATTGGGAGGTCAGACTCTAGGAACCATGGGCTAGTAGAGCCTTCATATACAGATTTAAGATGTTTAAAATTGATCATTGAATGCAGTAATTTATGCATTCCAACAGGTGTAAATCTTCTAATGTAGAATAAGGAACTAGAGTGAGTTACTGTAGTTTTGTTTGTAATGTACAGATAACTATAACAAAGTTTTCAATTCCATTCGTAATTTTCATGAGCAAGAAAACTGTTGCCTTGTTGTAGCTTAGTGTGTATTAAGTTGACTTTTAGGTTTTATGTCTGTAAGAGATCACAAGAGGTGAATATCTCATCAGCAGTGGAGTCAGCAATTAGTAAATTAATATTTTTGTATTATGTTTGTTGCTACCCTGTTGAAAGAAAGGTAAGTTAACATCAATAGAATTTTGTGAGTTTGACTTTTATCATTATGATCACTTTAAAGTACCTTCAAATTTGAAAACCTTTTTACTGTTCTGAATTTGTAAATTATTTATCATAAAATAAAATATTACTTCGTCACATAACTTAATACTTTAAGTTTCTGAACTGCAGTACAATGCATATGTAGTTTAGTTAACAGCCTCATTTAAATATTGTAATGTTGCTTTGGTAATTAAAATAATAATGGCAAAGTTATCAATATCAAATATACTAACGACGGTATATTTTTTTTGTTATTGTTGTTGTAAAATACTAGAAAAATTAGGAAGTTTCTTTACATTAGTCACTTAACCATCTCGATACGGGTACATCAAAGAGGGCATATCATGACTTTTTAGAGTTGCATACAAAATTTATTTAAGCTAAAGAGGGCATGTCATGACTTTTTAGAGTTGCACACAAAATTTAGTTAAGTTAAAGAGGGCATGTCATGACTTTTTAGAGTTGCACACAAAATTTATTTAAGCTACTTTATTATCAATGTATGCAGATAAACATGACATCAAAGCAAAGTTAATACATCAAATGTTAATAAAAAATTCTTAATTTCAAAAGGAAATATTTGAATAAATTCTCAATTTTCCCTTGTCTGTACAACATCATATTTATTCACTCTGACTTGCCCATTTTCTATCTTTACATCACCCCACTATGATGTCCTGAGTTTAACATAAATTAATCATTATAGCATAGATATTATCAAGGCATAGTGTAATTTTTATAGTCTTAAATCTTTTTTTACTTAGAAGATGTAATCCAGAAAGTCAGACCCACTTGCCACACACTCCTATCACATCATCTCTTTCATACATTGCCAATAGTTCTCTCTAACATTTGATACTACACAACCAATATAAAGAACACTTTTCGCTACCAAATGACATATAATATTACCTTGTTCTCTGTAAAGATTTTTAGTTATTTCACCTACAGATTGAATGTTGCTAAGTTCAGATTGAACAACTAAGGGAATTACTTTAAGGCAGCTATGCCTTAGTTAGAAAGCCAGTTAAATTATAAGTTATAGGATGTCGTCTGGTTTGTGCATGTTATTATTTTGTGTTCTTAAGTGAATATTTGAATTATATAAAAAATTATTTGATGTACTAATACCATCATTAAAAAAACTAGGCTTAAATTTCAGTGGCAGGCATCAGCAAAAAAATTATGTAAGTACTAAATTTCTTGTGTTTTATGTATGTTTTTTTATTTATTGTTATAAAAGTAATTAAAATGTAAAAATTAGAAACTTATAAGTTCAGATTAAGTTTGATAATAAAAAAAAATTATCTACAAGGTATTCTTATGACTAGTTCACATGTTATGTCACTCAATACTGTAACTTGAGATAAGCATATGCTCTGTGATTTACAGCTAGTGTCATGGGATTATCAGCTAAATACGGTTGAAAGAGCAATAAAACAATAAAGTTAAATAAAACCAGATATGAACTGTTATATGCTTTAAGCAGTTTAAGATAAATAATTGTAATATTATGTTCCAATCTGCAGAGATTGTAGAAAAAAAAGAATAATTTAAGTTTGTTTGATTTTTGTGGTGATTACCAGGTTGATCAAATAAACCAACCGTGTATATTGTGAAGATAGAGAAAATAATAAAATATAGTTTTATTGAAAAACACTTTCAGTATTCGTCAAGGAGATTTCAGAGGTTAAAACTGTAAGGCAAAAAAAGAATTTTTAAGCTTTACACGAAAACCACCTTGCATTCTTATATTGATGGACAAATCTTTAGTAAAATTACTTAACTAAAAAATCTGACCTTTTGCAAAAAAAAGGCTAAAAATGTTTACTAATAGCTTGCCAACTTTCATGCAGCCACACAAATTACAATAAAAGTTATAGTATTTATACTTTCATGATTACAAGGTTGGTTAAAGTGACCGAGCCAGTACAGATAGAGTTAATTATACACTTAAAAAATCAAATATGAACTTACAAAGAAAGTCTAATTTTTGTTTCATTCTTTGTCTCCACTTCATTGCAGTCAAAACCACGATGTTCTGCCCATTCAACTCTACAGTATCGACAACTTTCCTACAATTAGTTAAATACCCTGTTTTACCTCAAGTATCTTAATATTGAATATTTTGCTTCAAGAAACAAAAATACTGGTTTTTTCAAAGATAAAAACTCTAACAAATGGTTTTCTCTAAAGTTAATAATTCTAGTATTACAACACTTATTACTTCTAATTAACCATGACAAAAGTAGGTAAATTTTTTAAAAAAGGATCCCAAGTGCCTGTTCTGGTAGCATGAAAAGGGTTCACCATAAAGAAGTATAAAGGTAATCTTTTTACAACTTCATCAATCAGAATTTATTGTTTCAATTCTCTAGCACTAGAATAAAAAAAGTTTAGAGACTTTATTAAAATCTTATAAGATTAACATAGCACAATCTTAAGAATGTTTATCCTCTGAACAAAAACAAAAAAGCCTGAAGTTTCAACAATGCGAGAGTGCATACCCAACTACTTGAGAAATTAACTACTGAATTTAATCATAAATAAATACTTATATATATCTTTCCATTTGATAATTAACAGATTTAAAATAAAGTTAAATGTAAAACTAAGGCTTACAATACATACTGCACCAAATTTAGCAATGGAAAAATATATAAATAAAAGTGTCTTGCCCATTATACCTGTCTCAACCTATCATCCTAAAGAAGAAACAGAAGGCTGTCTTTTGAGTTATAAACCACTGCCAATAGCTTATTTTCAACTGTCAGTAAACAGAAGAAAATTTAGTTTGTTTGAAGTTAAGCACAAAGCTACACAAAGGGCTATCTGTGCTCTGCCCACCAACAGAAGAAAATAAATCTCACTTTGATCTTTTGTTCTTGCAAGATCTAATGAGCAAATGTATATCACTTTCAAAGTATTGGTCAACATCCTTCTAGAGATTAACAAACAGAAATGCATATATATATACATATACTAGCTGAATTCCCATCATATGAGGGTAAATGTATATTTATTTTATTTCAGAAAATTTGCTGTAAAATAATTATTTTGTTAACATATCTTGGAAAACTAATTACATTATAATAAGAATATCTACAAAAAATATTGTTTATCTTTTTTCTAGTATTTCACAAAAAACATTTTTTGTGTATACTTTGTCATCGCATGTGTATGTGTATGTCTGTGATATTTATACTTGCATAATATTAATTTAGCAAACACACAAACATTATAAGGAAGACCTCTATACATTTGGAAATAATGGCAAATTATAAAGTTAACCTCAAATTCAAACTAAGCTTATTGAGATTTGTCATATTCTAATTGTGTATGTTCATGTAAAAACTTACCGTCAATTTGAAAAATAAAACAACACAGTTTAGGTTTGCAAATACATTTTTTACTCTTAAAATACTATGAAAGAACAGATTTCACCTCCAAGTCACAGATTAAATTTTACCTTTGGTGAAAAAAAATGTTTAACATTATTATAGACTTTCATTGCAGCAGCACAAATTTTAATTCAGTCATGGAGAATGCACAAGTTGAAAAAGAAATGAGGTTTTTTAGTCTTAGCAAAAAGTGTCACACTAAAACATGCTAGGGCTCAACTACCAATGTTTTATAGCTTAAAATAACTTCCAAATGCTTTTTTTTAAGTTTAAAAACTGAAATATACAAAAATTCGAGACTATTTTATCACTCATCAAGGTTAGTAAATAAACATCACAGCAAAATGGCCAAGTCAGCATTTTACACCTCAGTACAATCAGTCTATTTTTTTGACTTCACAGTTCATTTGATTATATAATTTCCTATTAGTTTTATATACTTATAACTTGAATCCTCTTATAATGTTATTGATTTGTTGGATCAATTGACCATCATATTCTAGTATTTCAAGAAAAAACTTTTTTGTATATATATATATAGTTATCATCTGCAAGTAATCCTTGATTAGGATTTGAACTTAGATATATTTTGATGTTACATTCAAACTGCTTCTTGATAAAGCTACATACAGTTTACCATTGTTCTGGATGAAATATTCCCATGTGGTTAGATGTCTGACCCTACAATTTATTAATTGTGATAGCAAAGACAAAAAATTGCATGGTCAAGGGCAGGTTCATAAAGATATAACATTTCATAACAAATTATTATAAAATTCTTAATTGCATTTTTTTAAAAATTTTACTGAAGGTGAAAAACACCAATAATGTATTGTGATGCCATCTATTGGCTTGTAAGGATATTTAACTTGTGTTTCACACAGGCAGATACTGATGTTTATAAAATGTATCTAAACACCAGTGTCTGCCTGTGTGAAACACAAGTTAAATATCCTTACAAGCCAATAGATGGCATCACAATACATTATTGGTGTTTTTCACCTTCAGTAAAAGTAAAACTTAATGTCACGATATAAAAGATTGTTTACTTCAGATATTATTGATTAATTTATTTTGTGAGTGAGTATTTTATTACTGTTTAGTTTTTGTTAAAAATAAGAGTTAAAAGCAGATGATTGTAGGAGGTTATGTTTATAATTCATTAAAGTTGAGACTATTTAATGTCGCACTCAATACACTGATGTCGAAAATATAGATTTCTAGAAGGCGGGCAGACGATTAAGTGATAAAGATATAAATAGTGTGAGACAAGCGGAAACAGCAGAAAAGAGTAATGTTATGGCCAAGGAAAAGTTTGGCATGAAGTTAACTACTGTAGAAATGATAGGCCCAGTGACTAACATAGGTCAAACATCTAATATGTTAGAGTAAGACTAACAGTACAAAAGGAGATAAGATGAAGAATTTATTCCATCAAAACGTAGTTCTGAACTAAATGAATTAGCCTGAGTGCACTCTGACAAGAGGAACAGAGGATATTTGGAAGAAAGAAGACCAAACGATTATGGTAACTCATACCACAATTGTAAATGAATCACACACAGAATGCTATTGCAATAGTCATACAGAAGATAGTTCAGCTTGTGAACTGAAATTCTAAAGCAATTGAATAGGCCTAAGTGGACTTTTAACCAGAAGAAGAGAACTATATATATGGTGTTTATGATATGCCTACAATCTCTACGGTGTGAAGAATTTGCTGTACATATGTATAACTTGTTCCAAATATATATATATTATTTCAAAAACAATTGAAATGGGTGCTGTTCATTTATCATTCAATTTATCGGCGACAAGTCACGGACAATTACTGCAGAAGAATCGTAAGCCAAACAACAACACAGTATATATATATTCTATTAAGAAGTATAAGTAAAAGCCTTTTAATTTTGATTATTGAAAAATATATATATATATATATTTAAATTCTAAGCCAGCCAGGATTATACAGTGGTGAACAGCAACAGAATAAAATGTGAACGACAGCAGAAATAAGTAGTCCTATATACGCACAACTGTAATAGTAACGAAAATAGTGTAGAGATTACGATTACATTATAAAACCACGTCAGGTGATTTTGATAAATGGGTAGAAAGAGGATCTCATTTTGTGACAGTGAACTATGAGAATTTGTTAAAGAAAAACAAGAACTAGAGAAAGAAGAGCATAAATAGAGAAGAAAAGACTAAAAGAAGAATAAAAGGAAAGAGAAGAAAGAAGAGGCTGGAAATAGAGAAAACTAAAATACAAACTGAGATAGCAAAACTCACCCAACCAAAGAAAGAAGGACCCACAAATGATAATGGAGTCACGGCTAGCCGACCTAAGCTGCCCAAATTTGATGAACATAAGATGATATGGATGCTTTCTTGGAGAGATATGAAAGATTCACCCAAAGTCAGAACTGGGACAAAGGTGACTGGGCAGTCTGTCTCAGCCCACTTCTCACAGGAAAAGGCCTACAAGTATATGCAGGCACGATGTCAGAAAATACCATGGATTATGACAAATTAAAAGTGGCTTTACTGAAACAATATGAACTTATTGAAGAAGGTTTTCATCAGAAGTTCAGAGGAGTCAAACCCAACACTGGAGAAATTGTATTTCAGTTTGTGGCACGAATGCAGCAACATTTCAGAAGATGGACTGACATGGCCATGTGTGAAAATAGTTTTGAAGGACTAGCAAACCTATTAGTACATGAACAGTTCATAACCACATGTTCAACTGGCATGTCACTGTTCCTAAAGGAGAGAGCACCAAAAGAAGTAGATGAGATGGTTAAGCTGGCAGAACAGTGTATGGAAGTCCATGGAGGTAGTATAACTGGCAAGTTCAAGAATGTCCAGTAATGGCTGACCAGAAGCAGGAGTTTACCAAAGGTGACATGAGGCTAATAGATAGAAGGAAGAAAGAGATGCTATATTTGTTACAAAACTGAACAAGAAAGTGAAGGTTCTACGAGACACTGCAGTAGTGCAGCAGTGAGAACCAGTCTACTAGCCAATGATCAGATGACAGACAAGATATGCCTGTGTGTGTGCTAATTGATGGGACAGTGAGAAAGTTTCCCATACCAAAAATAAAGGTGGATGCTCTATATTATATAGGAGACCTTGAGGCCACGTGTATCAAGGAACCAATACACGACTTGATGATAGGAAACATACCAGGTAGTAGAAATCTGGAGGAACTAGACAGAAAGAAGATTGATGAAGCATCTGCTGTTACCACCAGAGCTCAAGAAAAGAAGAGCAAACAAGACATCAAGCCACTGCAAGTGTCAAAAGACAACATCCTGAATTTAGGTTTGCAAGAACTGAAGAAAGCACAAAAGAAAGACCCTTCACTGCAGAAACTTTGGGAAAATGCCTGAGTGAAAGTCAAGCACAAAACAAAAGTGAATGATACTTATAGAACAGAGGACTGAAAGGGAGTTCTATACAGAACCTATCAAGGCAGTCATACTGGGGAAGCTAAACAGATCATAGTCCCAACAGAATACCAACTCAGGAACAAAGAAAAGAGCAGACAGAATCATCAGCAACTTCCATTGACTGGGAGTCAAATGGGGTGCAAGTAGATTCTGCAGGTCATGTGACATCTGCCAAAAGACAATACCTAGAGGAAAGGTAGCCAAAGTGCCATTGGG